TAAGCGGCCACCTTCACACGTCTGAAGTGGGACCTCTTAGGTCTGCAGCAAAATGCCTGGATTTCCCAGCCATCACTCTCCACAGAAAGTGCTGTTCGGTATATGAGCACAAAGAACATTTTCGTTGGGGAAGATAACTGATGAATGCATCTATGTTTTGTCATGATTCTCAACACCAAAGGCAGAGCCTAAATATCAGGAAGCAGCTAGCTCTCCCTAAGTTTATCTCGTGGAGCAGCACCATTTCAAGTGTGGTCCAGGAACCAGGAGCAATTCCCGGGCTCCATCCCAGACCACTGAGGGCAGGGCCCGGGCATCTGTTTTGACAAGCTCCGCATGATTCTGATGCATGTGGGTTTTAGAAGCACCACAGGAGACTGGTTCCTAAACCTTTGTGGTGGGAGATACAGCTTCCTAGGCCCCTCTACGGGCAGTCAGATTCCGAATAGCCAGAATGAGACCGCAGTGCCACTTGTATAAGTACCCCCAGGTGACTCCTCTCATTTGTAAGTTTAGGAGACTCTGGGTACCTTTTGGATTTGTTTACCTCCATGAGTCCTGGTAGAGGCAGAGGTTTGATAAGATATATGGAAGAATCACTGGTGGAGCTTCTGCTAAACTCAAGGCTTTTCTGAATCTCTAGTCAATCGCTGTTATCTGGGACAGGTGGGAGAGAGTGGTAGATAATGTGTCCTGTTCTCCTGCTGTCAAGTGACTTCCATGAACAAGGGGTAATGCTGATGGAAATGGCTCTGTGCCCAGGGACACAGAGTGCTGGTGCTGTAGCTCGAGGGCCTCAGCGAAGACCTGGCACGGGGCTCAGGCACAGAGGGCTCCAGCAGTGCTTTCTAGCAGAGCGCCAGCATTTGCTCCAGAAAATTTGGCGGCAGCACCACCTGAGGCCCAGAACCAGGGGCCCTTCTCCACAGGCAGAACGGAGAAAGCAGTGCCTGCCCCTTGTGACGGGAGCCAGGACAGCACCCATACCTAACTTGGTTTAGAAAAACAAAGGAATGTGAGGTTTCTTTTACTAAGCACACATGGAAAGATTTTAAGAAAGCCGAAACACTAGCAGGGAAATAAAGTGTGAAAAATGTTGCTTTTAAAATGTTGCGTCTCTCTACCTTCTGCTTTATCTCCTACATCTCAAATTCTATAAAATAAGCCTTTTATATGACCCTATAGTCTCTTAATTTCACCATCAAGCAGCTCACCATCCCGCTCTCTTGCTAAGATATTTCATAACGTTGGCAAGTTCTCATTTTTCTTTTATATGCTCTAAATCTAGTAACCATCAGACACTACTTTGGGTAAACAATCAACCTGTTTACAGAACTTTCTTCTAGTATATCAACCCCAAAGAGCTAAGAGTTTAAGGTTTAAAACCTTAGCCTTCAATCAAAATCATATATATTGAGCTTAACAAAGTGCTTGATAGGGAGTAATAAATAATGATCTTTTCCATTTCCTCCCCATTGAATTACAAGTATCATCTTATGAAAGTGTTGAATGTGCCTGATTTCCTGGTGTGAAAAGAATGATAGGAAATTCAAACACTGTTATAAATACAAACACTGCTTAAAGGCCACCAAAAGCCTATTATCAGGATAGATTCTGCCAGGTGAATAACTCTACAGTTTGCCTGCCTGGAATATAAAGAAAGAAAAATTCCTGATTTAGTGAACGCCACAAACATTTTTTTCAGACAACACACAGTCGTGTGAAACCCTTGTTTCTGAGACCACATTTGCCGTGAGGGAAAAATAAGCCTGATTACAGAGAAGCCTCCAAATATCTTTGAATTTTCTGGATACTTAAAATTATATTCTCCAGCCCCTGCTGTAGACACCTTCATTTCTCGTCCAAAGGAAGTTACCACAATCGTAGCCTTGGGTGAATATCAGCATCTAATCGCATAGGTGGTACAAAACGTCCAGGGTTCCTTTTCAAGAAAATGGTATTGCCATCGGTGTTGCTCTCCACTCTTCTGCCTCCAAAGCTGACAACCTGCTCCAGTCCTGCCAAGAATCACAGCTCTTCCTGTCTCAAGAAGAAGGCCACCATGACTTCGGCATACCTGATAGCTGAGTGACATTCAACGGCCTGACCTGTAGGTTCTTAGCATTTATTCATTTATTCATTTAATTTTTAAAAAATAGCTTTGTTCTTTTCCTTGACAGTTCCTTTAACACGGGGGCTCAGAACTGGTTCCCAATTGCTGGGCCTAGGAATTGACGGTGTGGCCACCTCTCCATGTTGCCCTGAGTCTTCAGCCACCATCACCCAGAGCTCCAAGTGGAGGCAGGCTTCAGGCTGCCACTTAGTTCACCATTAAATCCTTCTTATGTCATCATCACCATCCCCATGGGATGAAAGGCAGTCTGCATGGTTCTTAATTTGGTAAATAAGAGAGTCTTAAAATAGGAGCCTTAAAAGTGCCCCCATAGTTTCAGTGAGACCACTAGAGGCTGTCCTGAAAACAGTCTCAAGATAATCCTGATTGCCTAAATCCCTGCTAAGCCTACACAGAATAGGACTCAGCACATTCCAGGAGTTATGTTATATACTATACGGTCCCAAGGAAATTTCAATTCTTGGTCATGTCATTCTTGCTGTCTCCTTATTTATAGCAAAGAGAAATTTTTCTCTTTAAGACCTGTCAGACCTTTAGGAAAAATAAAATGGGACAACTGCCTCACTGAACTTGTTTTCCATTTCAGTTCACTTTAGTTTAGTTCTGCTTCTGTTTCTACTTCAGACAATTTATTCTGTGATTAGTCTTAAAACCAGTGTTTGGGGTGAGTTCAACTTCCTCAGTGGTGGTCCACAAAACTGCCTGCTCATTTCAGTATTTAAACTTTTGTAAAAAGGCATTTACTATTCTTCAATAAAAATACAGAATTCAGGTGGTACTGAACCTGGTGAGTGTATTATTAATGTTCTCCACGACTCCCTCAAATAAATATTACGTTCTTCCTGGAAAAATGTGGTCATGATACTTTTGCTTCATTTGATGTTGACTCATAATGAGATTACTCTATTTGGTGCAGGGTCTTGCGATTGGTTTCCCTTTAAATTTATAGAACTACTTTTCCACAAGTACAGTCCTATCTGGATGTGTAATATTACAAACTGGAGTGGTTCAAATATGGTTAAATGTATGTGTATCCTTTTCTGGGCTCGCTGTTCTGGACAGATGGTCTTTTTTTCCTATCATAGCATCAATATCATACTATCTCAATTACTATAACTTTATTTTACGTCTAGAAAGAGTAAGTCTTCCCTATATTGTTGTTCTTTAAGAAGAAATATCCCTTTGCATTTCCCTGTACGTTTTATGTTTGCCAGTTTTCACACATCCAAGAAAAGCTTCCTGAGATTTTGGTTGAAATTGCACTAAATCTACAGGTCCATTTAGGGAGAAATAACATCTTTACAATGCTGAGTTTTCCAATCCACAAACATAGAGCGTCTCTTTACTTATTAAGGTCTTTTTTTCTAAAACATGTTTCCTAATTTTTTTTAAAGGTTTTATTTATTTATTTGAGACAGAGAGGGCACATGAGATGGGGGAGGGTCAGAGGGAGAAGCAGACTCCCTGCCGAGCAGGGAGCCCGATGCGGGACTCAATCCAGGGATTCCAGGATCATGACCCGAGCCGAAGGCAGTCGCCCAACCAACTGAGCCACCCAGGCGCCCATGTTTCATAATTTTCTGTGTAGAGATCTTATATAATTCTTATTAGACTTATACCTATGAGTTTGAATTTTTTAAGTGATTTTTCTAATTACTTTTTTTCTAATTGATTGTTACTGGTATATAGAAATAAAGTAACTTTTGAATATTGATCTTATATTCAGTAACTCTATAACTATTGATTCTAATAGTTTACCTGTGATTTTTCTATATTTTCTCCATTCACAATGTCACTGGTAATTTCTTTTTAAAAATTGGTTTTAAGAATTGATCTGTATTACCCTAACTCAGGTAGCTAGCAAAAATATTATTTTCATGTTAGAGCAGCTCACATATAGAACTTCACATATTAGATGAAAACTGTTCATGTTAGATCAGAATTTTTGGACTATTAGCCTTAGCATGGAAGAATACAAAGTGCACCAATATATAAAAAACATGTTTATTTTCTCAGAAGCTCAGAAAATACAAATTCTGTAGGCACAGCTCCCCTCCCCCACCTCCACAGACGCATGCGGGCGCGCGCGCGCACACACACACGCGCGCACACACACACAAGAATGCTGGCTTTGGCCAATCTATATTTCCCTATTTCTTTCTCTTTAAGCATGAAAGACAACAAAAGACTGGTTGAAATGACATATTTTATTTGTGTCTCTGAACATTCTATCCTTTTGCTATCACCACTGGTGGTATCTCATGTAACTCCTAGAAGACTTCCTCTCCCCCCTTTCTTATCCTCTCTCCCAAATCACCTTCTTCCGAGGATTATCAGGAAGTTACCAATGTCCAGGCTGGTTGACTTCTTGCTAACAAAACTTCCTTTGCTGCCAGAGGGACATCTGAGGTCAGAACCAGGTCTGGTTTGGCCGCGTCAGAAGGCAACGGAGACTGAAATGAGACCTCCCCCCGGCAAAACTGACACAAAATAAAGGACCAGAGACTTTGGCTGTGTCTTCAGCAATATTTATTGGAAACGGCGATGCTTCCTGTGGTAAGAGGTTTATACATTAAGCAGTAAGATTTGCCTTTCACTCCACATGACCCACGACCGCAGGTGGCACATCCGAAGCAGCACGTTCAACCTCTGAAGGGATCTGTATAGCTAGATAAATAGAACTCTGAACACCTAACAGGACTTCATAACTGATACCAAAAACACCCAAAACCAAAAAACCACTCACAGGCTTACACACGGCACTGTGCACACAACATGAAGATGGAACAGAAGGGACGGAAATAAAAGTCATGACTGAGGTGGGAAAACTTTTGCAGGTGCGGCCATACATCTTAAACTGCTAAGCACAAAAATCGTCTTTATTTGGTCCTCATTGAGGGCAGAATCTGCACAAATGACATTCAAAGAACACAAGGTGGAAGCGGAAAGGAAAGACAGTTACTGTTTCTTGGTCTAGGAACTCGTGGAATAATGGTTTCTTGTGTTTTTCTCCTTGTGTGTCTGTGCCAAATGGACTCATGACGCACGTAATTCATAAATAAAACTGAAGTGAACATATGTGTTCCCTCTTCCCTGTACCTTTGGAAATGGCCTAAATACATAAGTGGTTTCTCTGCAGCAAGAAATTTAAGCTTGGAAACCAGATGTTTTCCCGTTTCCTCATAACGGACCATCTCTTCTCTTCAGCCTCTCCTACCATGTGTGACTGCTAACTGCCTTACTCAGAAATACAGTGGGAGTCCCCCTCTGGCTTTATGAGCAGGGAGGGAAGAAAACTGGCTGTCCCTCAGAAATAGGCATAATTGGGAGGAACAAAAGTGACTGTTTTCAGAAAAGGTTTCTAACTCACATTCGACACTGTCCTACTGATAGCATCAAGGGACTGATGCATTCAGGCCAGAAGACAAGTTGCTGGTGAGGGAGGCTTTCTTCTACAATTCTGTGGCTCACATATTTGGGAGGGGGCAATGGGAAAGCAAGACCTTTCTCCTATTGAAATGGAGAACCTGAGACCTTGAGATGGCCCCTAGGTGATAGATAATATCTTCAGTAGGATGGTTTTACCGTAATGTGGCTCATGGTCATATTCTAAGAAGCCACAGCCTCCTGAGGACCGTGTAAACAGCAGTTCAGTGACTACCAACTGGTCTCAGATGGTGTTTAAAAAGCACATGCCATGCCCACCAGCCTAAGAAGATACCACCCATCACCATGACTCTTGTGGGATCACACAAGTCAACCAAAGATACTCGGTGGGGCTTGATGACTTGGACCACTGCGGCCTGCATTTGGGATGTGTTGTAAGCAGCATTACCAAAGCAGTGGTTAAACTTAACTATCTGGGTCAAGAGGAGGTAAGCCTGCCAGCCTAATATTCTAATGGGGCAGGGCAACCAGAATCTCCACATAGTTGATGGGGAAGAAGCCTGACTGGCCATGAAGCATCCCCTCATACCAGTTCTCATCAATTTGGTTAGTGAGTGTGATGATATCACCCTCTTTAAAACCCAACTCCCCTTCATTTTCAGGTTCAAAGTCGTACAGAGCTCGGCAGCAAGGCTGATCCATTGGGGCACCTAGAAGTGAAAGCAGGAGAGAAGAACACAGAAAGACAAGGGGTATTTAACTCACGTATCTACCACCTGCTTAACCTGCCTGGCCTGCCGTCCCCCTTGCTTCTTCCCTCACTCCTCTTTCCTGCCGAAGCTTCCTCTTGTGGCTAGTCCCCAGTCCGCTGCATGGCATCTGCCCTTCACCAGTCTTCAGAAGTTTTCTCAGATTCCTGGAAGTTGCTGGATGCTGCTTCCATTTCCAGTATGAAAAATGGCCTCATCTATGCTTGCGACACATGCAACACTGTCCACCAAGGTTTGGCCCTCCTGACAATGTCCAGAGATGGGAGACCCAGTGACTTAAGGAGTTTTAATGAGTTTTAGGTTAATAGAACATGGCCAGAATCCTTTCCATGCTAGCATTTTAAAATCTCTGTACATGTGAAAGCATCAAGTCCATTAAATGGACAATGCTTGGCAACGTCAGAATAACAGTGCAGTTCTAATCTTTTAAAGGTAAAAACTCCAGCCTCTGGAAAACTGCTGTAATGTGATGAAAACAAAACAACATAACACACTGGGTTCAAGTTCATACTCTGAGTGACCTTGTACAAGGCACTTCCCTTTCAGTTTCCTTGTCTAGCATTAGAACTAACAGAACTTACTCCACACTACTTTTGTGGTTATTTAGTGAGATTATGTAAAAATTATATAACTTACTCTTGGTAAATTGTTGCATATATGTAAGGATGAGTACATGGGAGTTTTGGCATACAAAAAATAACATACTATGCCTTGAGTAAAATAATGAAGAATAGAATCGTATCTTAAAAGTGATCTATTTTAAATGACCATCCATATTTAATATAGCATGCCTTCACATGGGCACGTAAACTCAAAACACGTGCATACAGCTCCCGTGTCACCTAGATGACTTTAAAGGGAAACAATGTCAACTCCTTTTTTACTTTAAGAAAGCAAAAAATGAACAAGTCTCCAAAAGAAGAGTGAAATACGTGGTTGGTTTCTGAATAGGGAGAAGCAAACTCATCACAACTTACATGACTTGTCCTTGCAGCCAGCTAACTTCTAAGAGCCACTGTCCCGTATACCCCACCCTGGGGGCTCCGAGCAGTGAGACGAACACAAAGGGCAGAGAGCACCAACTGTCACCACAGACTTCACTTTTTTCCTTCATGGTCTCCAGAGAGCACCTCATAAAACATTTCCTACTACAGAATGTCAAGCCCTGAGCTCCAGGGAAAAGAGGAGACACTGCATTTCTTGGAAGTCCGTGTCCCGTGTAAGATAGTTTCCACTTCTTCACCCAAGCAAATTGTTATGGTTGAAAATGTTTCAAGCACAGGCTTTTACCTAATCTGTGTATCGGGGGTGGAGAGCAATGGTGCCAACTAAAAGAACCTATTATTGGGTATACATCAATATTCCTGATAGAAAATAAATTTCAGCTTTTACTATACTAACCTCAGTTACCAGGGTACAATGAGTTGGCTGAAGGCAGAGGAAGGAGGGGAAGCTAGCCGATGCTGAGATTTGAAATACATTCATCTAGAAAGGTGTTCACCCATATGCTCCGGTGACTTAAGGACTCCAGCCGGACATGCTGCTGGAGCTGCTGTCTGTGGGTTATGTGAGTGTCTGTGGGTGCGCCCTGCCAGGGCCTTCACCCTCATGCATGCTGGAACACAGAAGGGAAAACAGAACAGAAAGAGGACGCTCCTGGCACCAAAATGACACATTAGGGTGACTTAACACCACAAACAAAGGTCAAAGTCAAATGTGCTACTTGGGAGGTTTATGTGTGCTGATGATGGAGAGTGAGAGAAAAAGGGATGTACAAAGAAAGTTTTCTAGAGGAGAGAAGGGGGGAAAGGAAAGAAATGATCAATGAGAGAAGAAGGAAGAAGTGCTTTAGAAGAGTTTCTACCTGATGAAACCATCCTGTAAGAAATGTATCACTGTAGAGTTCTTGTGCAGCCAGACTGGGCTGTGCCTAGAATTTCTGGGAAAGTGTCAACAGGGTGTGCCCAGGGCCTGTCATGGGGTCTGCAGGTCTCAGCTCCTTACCTGCAGGTTTGGGTGTACCCGTGTGGGAGAGGCCTCCGTTGGGCTGAGTACTATCTCCAGTTGTAAACTCCAGGCTCATTCGTGGTTTAGGCTGATATTCCCTTCTAGGCTGAGATGAAGCTTGTCTTATTCTGCATTAAAAAGAAAAGGGAGGGGGGGAATAAGAGTATGGAGCCAATTAAGAAGCAAAAAGAAAAGCAGTAACATCCAGGAAGGCTCCTAATGTACAGCAGGGAAAATCTCAAACAAAAACAAAAACAAAAACAAAAACAAAAAACAAAACTAGCCTTCTCTGTGTATGTCTCTTGCTTTCCGTGATGTCCCTCTGTGGTCCAGCCCTCACCATCTTCATCCTGTCTCTCAATCCCTCACTTCCGCATTTATTCAGAACTCACTTTGCAAATGTGCACTCTGGTAGGTGCAGGGAACACAAAGATGAGTACGACACAGTTCTTGCCCTCAAGCAGCTTATGGTCAGTAAGGGAGACAGAATGTAAACACCTGAGGACCAGAAACCGTGGTGAGTGTTGTTCTGGAGAGACAGAGAATGCTACAGGAACACGGGGGTGGGAGCAGGGAGGGGTCTACCTGTCCACGGGAAGGCTTATGGAAGGGGAGAAAAGACAGCTGAGAGGACGTCCGGGTGGCTCAGTTGGTTAAGCGACTGCCTTCGGCTCAGGTCATGATCCTGGAGTCCCAGGATCGAGTCCCGCATCGGGCTCCCTGCTCAGCAGGGAGTCTGCTTCTCCCTCTGACCCTCTTCCCTCTCGTGCTCTCTATCTCTCATTCTGTCTCAAATAAATGAACAAAATCTTAAAAAAAAAAAAAAAAAGACAGCTGAGAGTCATTTCCAGATGAACAGTCCTTTCCAGAAGAAAGAGTTTAAGAGCTGGAGAAGGTCTGGAAGGAGGAAATGCCGTGTGCCCTGAGAACAGTGAGTGGTCTGATATACCAGAAGTAGGAAAGAAATGAGGGAAGACAGGAGGAAAGTGGAAAGGTATGGCCAATTAATGTCTTCCCCACACCCCTAAGTATTTTCCACAGTCTCAGGTGTTCATGAAGCAAAGGGTACAGAAGATTCGCAAAGATGGGGAGGGTTCAAGTTATGGTGATTATAGAACCATACTGACTTTGAACATATGTCAGAGGAAAAAAGGAAAATGGCCCTTTGTGCTCAATGGATGTCACAAAGACATATAATATTTCTTTAGTATGTTGAAATACGGGGTTTTACATCTTTCTAGATGCTTCAGAGTGTGACACACATTCCCATAAGGGTGCACTGAGGAAAGAATGACAAAGTGACACACAGGACAGAGCGGGGCCTCTGCCTACAGCTGTGAAGCTGTGCCCTGCAACTCCAGGGAGACCTGGTCACAAAGAAAACGACCTCGGCCCGGCCGTGGGGTGCACCTGAGGAGGAGGAACAGACATACAAAAGCAGTCTCTCTGATAGCGGAAGACTTGCTCACCACTCAGAGAAACGCTGTGGCAAGATACAGGCTTTCAAATAGGTTCTGCTTGCCGGGCAAACCCCTGTTGCACCACTGTGTGACCCAGGGCAAGTTACTTCACCTGCCTGGGCTTTCCACCTGTGGGTGAGGCTAATCATACTTAGTTTACAGGGCTGTCAGTAGACTGATGACAATATGCCTTTAGTACCCACCCAGAATGTCTGTTCAGCAAATCACGCCCGTTATCCTTGGTAGCACCCTGGTTTCCCATCTGTGGCAGCCAACATACAACCCACACCCTGACCTCTCATCCACACAAGATTAGATTCAATGGAACACAGTAAAACAAAGCACAAAGACACAAGAAAACCAAAACGAACGACCCACAAGGTGCCTAGGTAGGATCAGCAGGAATTTTGGCAGAAGTTTTTCTTCAAACGTATTCTATTATTTCCATTTCTTTACCCATCATTTCAGAGGAAGAAAATGGGAATATAACATTCAGGAACTGTGAGATACCTTTCTTCCAGTCTGACGGTGACTTGCTGCAGGATCTGGACGGCCTGCTTGTGGTACTCCAGCTGGGCTTGGACGAGTGCAGACAGCTGGCTCACCTGTTCAATCTGCAGGCCAATGGGGGGATCACGCCTCATTTACCAGGTCACCATCCTTAAGCATCTCCTACTGCCCCACACATATGACAGAGCTGCTCCTGACCCACAGCCCACTGCTCAGAGATTCTGTAGGCTCCACATCAGTTAAGGATAAGAAGCATCTGCATGCTTGCAAATGTCAGTACCATGAGGAGAAGCCACATTATCAGGAATCTTTCTAAAGATCACACACTTCTCACTGAACAGTCTCATTCTTAGCTACCAACTTCCAGGTAGGATTTGGCTAATTTTATTGATTTCTCATAGGAAAAAGAGACATCGACCAAAGGAGTCTTTGCTCCCTATGCTTTCCATGCTGTTAACATATTAGTGTTAATAAAAATGTGAATATTGATTTTTCACATGAGGCAGCATGGAGGCAGTTTGGTAGGATGGAAAATTTTTTGTCCTCTCTGCCTCTTCTGTAACATAAAGGGGTTGGGTCAAGTGACATCTTGGGTTCATTTCAGCTCCAGTATTCTAGGCATCCTTAGTTACTCTTCATTTTATGTCTCAGGTTGTGATCTCGCTGAATATTGTCCTCCAAGTCAGCGAAGTCAATGCTGTCCCATGATTTTTTGGGGTGGAATGGGGCCCTGGGTGCAGGGAAGGAGCACTGTAATTCAGGTCAGGCCCATGCCTACAGCATTCCTCTTCAGTAGGTAGGTGGGACACCAGTTGTTCTACATAAACACCAATGTACACCGTCTCTGGGTGGTGGGAAGGTCCAGATATGTTCAACATGCCTCCCATGTCACCAGTCAGGGCAAAGCAGTTAAGTGATAAGCACATAAAGGCTCTGTAAACACCTTGGAAGAAGGTGGTCAGCAACTGATAGAGTCAGAGGTGGGAGTGAGCAGGAACTTGAACACTGGCTAGCTGGCTTTATTACATGAGTGGTCAGAAGTCCTCATGACTACAGGGCTGAAGGAACTCAACAGAATATAACTCTAAAGCCATAAATAATAATTTAGCACACTTGGCGTGGTATGTGGGTGGCTCAGTCGGTTAAGCATCTGGCTTTTGATTTCGGCTCATGTCATGATCTCAGGATCGTGAGATCGAGCCTCATGTTGGGCTCTCCACTGGGCATGGAGCCTGCTTAAGATTCTTTCTTCCTTCCTCTCCCTCTCCCCCCTCCTGTCTCTCTCTCCTCCTCTCTAAAATAAAAAATAAATAATAATAACAATTTGGTGCACTGGAAATGTAAAAGCAGCTTTTAAACTACACTGCCCGCAAATACAGCACCTATGCTACAATCATCAATCTCAACTGAAATTAGTTTTTGAAAGAAAATATCACGTTTACTTCAAAATATAGAACATCTTAACCTATACTGACCCCTCAATTCTAAATGCATTTTAGGTGATATTCTTTTATAATCTGAAGTCAATCTGCCCTATATTTTGACAAAGTATTTCAAGCTACTGGACTTTTACATGGATCATCAGAAACATTCTTCATTTTCTCACAATTGGTAATTCTTTAAGATCATTAGTAGACAAATATCTCACTAAATTAAACTATGGAAATACAGAAAAAAAAACCCTTACCATTTCTGGATCCACTTTATTTCAAATTATTTTAAAGAAATAACTTATCGACCAAAGTTCTCACCACATACTATAATTAGATATGAACGTTTTGAATTATGTAACCCTCTAACATAATCTTGAGCCTCAATGGCAAGATTAAATTAGAAATCGGAGGAGAGGGACTCACATCCATCTCCAAGAGATTGAACATGCTTGACTCAGCAATTTCTTTAGATTCATCGAATTTCTCCAGAGCCTGACGGAGCTCTTCATCTGGAATCTTGCCTTGTCGTTTCTTCTTATAATCAAAGTCCAGGCGTCGACCCTCCAACTTCTTTAGATGATGCTGAAAAAGTCAAGGGCAGGAATATGCTTTGACAGGGTTCATGGAAAGGTCTATTTACAGCTCACTTCTCCATTATGCCTATGAGCTTCCAAAATAAGACAGGCTAAGTTCTAAAATATCACATCACCAAAAGCCAGCATCACTGGGGCAAATGCTTCCAAAAGCTAAATATGGAGAAGCATCTTTAAAAATAATTAAGAGCAAGAAAGAAATTTTGCAAATTACCAGTGCCCTTTATTTTCTGCCCTTGCTGGGCCAAAGCCAAGCTGGAATATGTCTTTCCATCCCGTGACAGAAGCTGGGAACGTGTGCATATGGCCACCTACATGGAAAACACTGCTACACAGAACCCACAAATTCCCATCTTCAAGAGAAATGGTGTCTCATGAGAAGGTAGGAGAAAAACACTTTCCTTGAAAAGAAGTGGGAAAGACTGGCATTCTTTTTGAGTCCTAGCACACTAACACTGGAAAGGGTTTATCTTTGAGGAAACCAGTCTGTGAGAATCACCTAAGTTGCTTATCAGAAATACGGATTACTGATCACCTGCATTAAAATATCTAGGGCCGGGGTCTAGGAATCTATACTTTTTTTTTTTGACTCTCAGATTGATTGATTGGTCATAGAGAGAGAGAGAGAGAGTGAGAGAGAGCACAAGCAGGGGGAGCGTCATGCAGAGTGAGAGGGAGAAGCAGGCTGCCCGCAGAGCAGGAAGCCCAATGTGGGGCTCGATCCCAGGACCCTGGGATCATGACCTGAGCCGAAGGCAGACATTTAACTGACTGAGCCACCCAGGTGCCCCTAGGAATCTATATCTTAACACTTACCCTTGTTGACTGATGCAGCTTTCAGGGAACCACTGATAAGTTTGAGTCTCCCGTTTGGTAGATGATGAAACTCAGTGGAAAAAGTCTAACTTGGAAAGGATGCTAGACAGGGTCTAATGCCCCACAGTGTTCTTCAAAATCCCTCCTCGCATCTTCCCCACTGCCTGACCACCCAACCTCTGCCCAACCCTCTAGTGACAAAGTAGGAAAGTCATTTCCCAAAGCTACAAATTATCTTTTTTATTCTAAGGGCTGTAGTATTCCATTTTAATGGGTGGGAGAAAACACTAGATTTCCCTGATCCTGGGTGTGTATGGAAATAAAGGCAGGGAGATGAAAACAGAATTGGGAGTGGTAAAGAAAGGAAAAGGAAAAGAGGAAGAAAAATATCCTAGACCTTTCCTCCCACTGTACACCCTGCCTCCCATCCATGCCCCGATCCAAGTTAAATGTTTGTTCCTTTGGAAGGGATATTCTTGTAACACATTTGAACTTGTAGTCAACTGGAGGGTAGAGTACTGGAGTCAGGGTTAATACTGTAGTTCAAGAGTGAGTCTGCCATTTACTACTGCAATCCTGAGTAAGTGACAGGATGAAGGAGACTCAAGCTAGAATAAAGAGATCTAGGGGACTTCACACTGTGGATGACCATGTTACAATAAAGTTACATTTCAGAGAGGTTCCACAAATATTTGTCAAAGGAATGAATGAGAAAACATTACACACCTAGTTGGAGGTAGAGCCAGTTGAACTTTATTTCTTTGGAACAGCTCTACGTGTTTTATAAAGAGGATGGTTATTCTTCCTCAGTCCTAACAATCGCTATGAAAATATGAAAACACGTGTTTATAGAGTGATAGTATAACAATTTACCTAAGCTAACAACTGATACAGTTAGCCTTTCAGACAGTGAAATCAGCCCAGAAAGCCGTAATTAATAAAACTGGGTGGTATCAGGGAAGGATATTATTCTTCTGGAAAAAAAAAAAAGGTTGATAACCTGAAAACTCAATGTGGAAAAGTCAAATGTAATATTCATAAGTGGCATAGTCATAATAATGGGATAAAGTATTGTATTTCTGGTTTCTCTCAATTTATCTTGCTGGGTTATTTTGTAGTCCAAACCTCATCACACACAATAAGCTTAAAAAAATGTTTTCTGGGGGAAAAAGGGCACCTACATTTGTACATTCAAACCACTCACTTCCCAAAGGATCAGTTGCAGGTACCTGAATTTCTCTCAGATCTTTGTCATGAAGGTTCTGAAGGGGGTCAATGAAGTTCTGCTTCACTTCCATGTCCAGAGAGTCTTTCACCTCTGAGAGCTCCCGCATGGCCTCCCCCACCTCACCAAGCGCTGGGCCTGCAAGGGGAGAATGAGTCTCTTGTATGTTAAAGGACAAAGGTGAAATGTATGTGTAGTAAGAGGGCCACCACAGCCGAGATGACAGGCAAAATATAATGCCTTCCAGAGAACAGTGTATTTTCTACCTAGGAGGGGTTCATACAGTACAAGAGAGTCAATGCTACCAAGGGGATGGTATCCCTTATTATGAAGAACATAAACTTTTGCTTGTCCTTTAAAAAACAATTGGGGAAGCTCCCTGCCCTCCCTTGTCACTACTGGATTTCCCTAGCAGGGAACCCGTTTAACGCCAATGCATTGAGCAGAAGCAAATACCAAGAACAGAGGCCAGGGTTCAAACAGAAAGGACAGTCATTAGCTGAGACCTCCCATCATGAAGGAGTGAAACAGAAGTGTTTTATATGGTAACTGAGTGTTGGAGGAGAGAGGGGTGAAGGAATTCACCTGGAGCCATAGAATTGGGTACCACGTAAGCAAGAGCAGAGACTGAAGAGAAAGCTCACAGGGCAGGGTGTTACATCATGCTGACTGGTCCCTCTGCCTCAACACTCAGTCATGGCGGACACACTGCCCAGTAAGTTTCCAGGCATCTGGTTATGTCCACTAGCTACCGTAAAGTCTGGGATCTCATCAGAGAAAAAGAAAGGAAACAAAACTATGACAAATCACACTAAAAATGATGAAACGCCTCTGAAGGCAAACTTTTGCCCTCTGTCTCTAAGACATATAAAACTGAGAACCAAAATATAAAACCAAAATCATCTCCTGCAGAGCACCTTACTGGCACGAAATCCCCGTGGACAAATGAAAGAAGTGAAGTGTGGAAAGCGCTCATTACCAAAGTTGCAGTCATCTCCAAGCTCTCTTCCGAACTTGAGCATGGCCTCCGCTAGCAGTGCTTCTGCCTGTGGGTAGCCTGGCCCCTTCTCCTGCCCGCGGATTTTTGACATGGTGTTGATCATGCTGAGTTTAGCTCTGGAAGCTGGAGCAGAGAGAGCAAACACTTTCACAGTAGGCAATATGATACAGTGGAGACCGGGCTGGAAGGAGAATTGGGCCCTAACTACCTGGTCCATAAACCAGCTCAGCGACAGGCAAGCACATCTTCACCTTCCCAGCTTCAGTGTCTTCATGTATAGTACGTGCAGGCTGGCCCATTGATAGATATAAACAGACATTTTTTCTTTCATCACTGAACTTTCCCTTTCTCTCAACGTCTTATGAGGAACTTAACAGAAAAGGCAAAGCCCTTCTGGGGAGAGATCCCACCCACTGTCATGTGCTCTTCCCCATTTTCCTGGGTAGCTTTCTGCGCCTCTCTTCATTGCGGCGGCCCCGGCAGTACCTCCATGGAGCTGGGAGGCCCCAGGGAAAGCATTTTGAAAACCTCTGAATTATGTATTCTCTAGGCTTTAGGATTCCAGTTTTATATTTCAATTCTAGGAATCTATGGACAGAAGTAGGAAATTGTTAATTCTTGCAGTGTGAGAGCCTTATGCCAACTTTCACTTACACCCCTATTTTCAAAATCACTGCTCAACTGAGATTCTGATGGTAAACAGACCCATGAAGAACAGAAATATGTTCATTAAAAAGGCTTCATCACTTCCCTAGCACATAATGGCTTCGGAGAATTAGTCTTATCCACAAAGACAGCACTTTAATTTCTTTTTTGGTTTGTTTTGACAAAAGGGGATGCCTAGAAGGCAATTCCAGTTTTCATGGAAGAAAAAGTTTTGTTAACACACTGTGAAGGAGACTTTCCTGATGCTTGGACACTAGGTTTCCTCAGGTTCATTTTTAGAGTTGGGGCTGTACATCAGCCTAGGACTGTGCCCAGGATCCCATCGGCATGGAAACCCTGATAGAATTCACAGCCAAAAGCACTTCTGGCATTCAGTGGCTGATAGTTGATCTTGAACACTTGTTTCAAATAGGCTTTTTTTTTTAAGTTTTCATTTAAATTCCAGTTACTTAACATCGTGTTCTATTAGTCTCAGGTGTACAATATAGTGATTCAACAGTTCCCTGTAACTCCTGGTGCTCATCACAGCAAGTGCCCTCCTTAATCCCCATCACCCACATCCCCACCCCGTCCCCTCTGGTAACCATCAGTTTGTTTTCTATAGTTAAGAGTCTGTTTCTTGGTTTGCCTCCCTCTTTTTTTCCCCCTTTGCTCATTTGTTTTGTTTCTTAAATTCCACATATGAGTGAAATCCTATGGTATTTGTCATCCTCTGACTGACTTATTTTGCTTTGCATAATACTCTCTAGCTTTATCCACATCATGGCAAATGGCAAGATTTCATTCTTTTCTATGGCTGAGTAATATTCCATCGCATGCATTGATGCACGTGCACACACACATCATCATCATCATCATCATCATCTTTTTTTCTTTTTCCTCAGATCTTGGGTTAGGGTTAAGGCCAAGGTGAGGATATGTGCCTGGAATCCTGAAGTTCAGAGACCTCTCAAGAGAATATGCTAGGGTGAAAGTAGACATGGCAGCCATCTATTGAGCTGAGGCAAGGTGGGATTTATGGGCTCCAAATACTCTTTACTTTTTTTTTAAGTTTTTATTTTAATTCCAGTTAGTTGACATACCGTGTTATATCAGTTTCAGGTGTACAATGTAGTAATTTAACACTTCCATATGTCACAAATAGACTTTTATTTAAATTTGGGCTTCCAAGGTTGAAACTGGAAATGGGGAGAGTTATCATGAGAGGGTTCCTCCCAGCCCTGCCCCAGGCATATTATAATGAACAAGGCAACTATGCTGCCTGCCTTTAGGAAGTTCCCAATGAACTAAGGGTGGCATCTGTTTTAAAAGCAATTAGAGGGGTGCCTGGGTGGCTCAGGTCATGATCCCAGGGTCCTGGGATCAAGCCTGCATCAGGCTCCCTGCTCAGCAGGAAGCCTGCTTCTCCCTCTGCCTCTCCATCTCCCTCTGCCTCTCCCTCTCCCTCTCCATCTACTTGTGTTCCCTCTCTCGCTATGTCTCTGTCAAGTAAGTAAAAATAAATAAATAAATAAATAAATAAATAAATAAATAAATAAATAAATAAGCAAGCAAGCAAGCAATTAGAGTGAAGTGTATATACTCAGTGCCATGCTGGGGAATTATGGCAAGTTACAGAAGGACAGCATCACCCCAGTCTGTGGGGATGGAGCATTGCAAAGAAGGATTCTGAAGGGAAGCGTCAAGTTTAGAATCACATAGTGAGTAGCAGTTAGCTGGGCTAACAGCATATGCAAAGCCTGGTGGTAACTGAAAAAATATATATAATTCACATTTTCTTTACTCTGCTTTTCAGGGAAAGTATATATATTACACGTTAAATTTCAAAAACTGAAAATGCCACATGGTCACACATTTTCAAGGGAACGATATTATTAGAGCATATTTTCAAAGCCTCTTCTAAAATAAGTCATATCAGAGATCCAGAAAGGACACAGTTCCTGCCCTCACTGTGCTCACAGTATAGTGAGGTGTCAGATACAAGATGCAATGATGGCTAATTTGCACAAGATACTTGGGGAACACAGAGAAGAACTAATAAAAGCACAAATAAAAATGAAATAAGCAAACACCAGACAGTAAGAATTACAGAATGAATAGAAGGAAAGAAGATAAATGGAGACCAAAGAAAGAGAGTACTGAAAACACATATGGCGGTCAACCCTTTTCAATCCTGTTTTGACTATTTTACACCCTAAAGACTTTTATCTTTTATAAAAGTTGATATTGATTTGTGCTTACATCTTGGTTCTGTTAAAAATCATCTTGTGGTAAGTAATTACCAGAAGTCATTGAAATGGTTTAATATACTGTGGCTGATTTTTAAAGTCATCATTTTCAAATGTTGGTTAATTATAAAAAGCTTTATTCTTCTACTAAATATTTACGAATATCCTGGATATATTCTACACTTTCATGAGGAGGAAGAAAACCGTTTCTATTAGTTTGGTCTATTTCTTCAAATCATCTAAAATATCTATTAATACACATATTATTCTTCATATTATGAAGAGGCTGGTTTTTAAATTCATTCACAAACTCATAAGATTTATCAAGAATCTTAGATTAGTAAAGCTTCTGTGTTCTTAAAAGCAATCATCAGACCTCTGAATTCAGCATCTTGAAATGTAACCTAATTGTTTTTAAATGAATTTTTTAAAGCTATATTTTAAGAAACAGAATAAGCCCAGAAAATACAAATTTTAGACATTAGAATTCCTATAATATGGTCTCTTCTCCTTCAAACCATCTTTTTTTCCTTTCCACCACTTTACTTTCCTCAGAAATTTTTACAGTCTCTCAGGCGACACCCCATCTTTACTGTCGCAGCATCACTGTCCTAGAGTTCAAGTCCCACCCACTGGGTTTACTGCTAAAACAGCTTCTCAACAGCAAACATTCCCCTGGTCCGCGAGAGCAGGACCCCGGCATGCTGATCTGTGTTATCTCCCAGACAGGGTTAGCGGAAAGTTGTACACACAGTGGATGTTTAATACATGTCCACTGAAGGGAGAATAAATGAATGAACAGATTATCTTGAAAACTAGTAGAATATCATAGCAATGGTTTCCCGAAGTAGACTATGTTCATATCCTCTGGCTCATGTGCCCAAGAGCTTTTTGAAGCATAACAGAGAATGGGAATTAGAAAACTTGTTTCCTTCTATTGAAAAATAAAAGTTTTTAGGAGAGAAGAGAAGATAACCAACCCTGCTTAGGGTGGGACTCCATATTAAAAACAAGGCATTAGGGCCAGCCCACATAGTGAACTGTGAGATTTCCCCACCCACTTCCCCTACTTATCCCCTAGAGAACTGGCCAGCCAGGTTAATACCTTCTGGATGGGGGACTAGAAGATTCTTCTCTGGGGAATACAACCAATCCAGAAGAGACCTAAAGACACTGATAGCTGTAAGCACCCAATATACCAACTCCAGGCTGATCACCCTAGGAAGAACCCATTACAGTTTATAAGCCTCCACTGACCCCCACACAGCTTTACTGCCCTATACCTAAGTGGAAAAAGATAGACACTATCACTAGATTTTGAAAAAGGCTTCTAACATAACAGGGCCAAAACAAATAAGGCAATTATAGGAAACAAACAATTCAGGGAGGCAAAAATAACTATCATTAATGTTCTCAGGTGTCTAAGATACTTTACCCATGAAATAAAAAAAGAAACAGAGGGGTGCCTGGGTGGCTCAGTCATTAAGCATCTGCCTTCGGCTCAGGTCATGATCCCAGGGTTCTGGGATCGAGCCCCGCATTGGGCTCCCTGCTCCACGGGAAGCCTGTTCTCCCTCTCCCTCTCCCCCTGCTTGTGTTCCTGCTCTCGTTGTGTCTCTTTCTCTCAAATAAATAAATAAAATCTTAAAAAAAAAGAAACAGAGGAACTCTTAGAAATTAATATAACTGTATATGTGAATTTAATTAAACTATAAAATTAAAAAATCATTAGAAGCACAGAGTTGAGGCACATTCCACCCCCCGCAAAGGAAGACAAAATTTTAAAAAGAGATAGAAAATCAGAAGAAAGCATAAAATCAGGATTAGTCCAGGGGGTCTGGTGGCTGAATGATGAAAGTTCCAAAAAGAAAACACATAGAAGGGGAAGAAATTTTTTTAAAAGTTAAAGAAAATTTCTCAGAACTGATAAATGTATGTTTCCATATTGAAAAGGTCCACTGAATGCCCACCACAATGGCTAAACGGGTCCACAAGGAGGACCATTCACATGAAATTTCACTAGGAACAAAAGTTCCTAAAACCCTTCAGAAAGGAAAAAATAGGTTATATACAAATATCAAGAATTAGAAGGACACTGAACATGAGAATATCATGAGCAAGAAAAATTTCCTCAGAAAACAATGGAGCAATGACTCCAAATTTCTTAGAGAAAATAATATATAACTCTATATTCAAATTATCAGTGAAGCATGAAGGTAGAATGATGACATTTTCAAACACACAAGGAAGGTTTCTGATTTTTCTTCCCAAGCTAATGGAAGAGCATTCTACCAAAATGAAGATATAAATCAAGAAAATGGACAGGTATAGGATCTAAAAAAAGAGATCCAATGTAAGGAAAGATGTAAAAATGATGACCAAAGGAGATCTCAAGAGGGTCACTGTGCATCACACATTGGGCAACTGTAGCTGATACTACACATCATAACCAGGGGCGTGTAACACGGGAAGCCATGACTACAAAGGAGCTATACTCTCACCGTGATCCCCCATGAGGTCAAGTTACAGTTATCAACCACTATACCTTGCTTTATAATGCACCCTTCATTGGCTTCCCCTCTAACCTACTTCCCTTGACGTTTCCTGGACTCACTTCCCAAATCAACCATTTGTGCTCAAATCCTTACCTCATGTATTCCTTCTGAGGGAACTCAAACTAAGACAGCAACCAATCTAGAATGCAGCACCAGATAGCTCAAAGATAACAACACCTGACATGTTTCAATGTAATGAGAGAAAATTCATGTGCACGGCAGAGGGTTTGGGAAAGAATTAATGAATGGTCCACAAAAAGCGAAGAAAATGAGAAATAGGGGCACCTGGGTGGTTCAGTCGGTTAAGCATCTGCCTTTGGCTAAGGTCATGATCTCAGGGTCCTGGGATCAAGCCCCATGTGGGCTCCCTGCTCAGTGGGGAGTCTGCTTCTCCCTCTGCCCCTCCCCCCACTTGCGCTCTCTATCTCTGTCTCTTAAATAAATAAAATCTTTAAAAAAAAGGAAAATGAAAAATAAAACATTATTAACTCCAAGAAAAACAAAAACATTGTACAAGAAAGGAAATATAATCATACTATATGTCCCAGCTCTATACAAGTTTACAAGGGCATAAAATGTAAATACTGAATACTAATCTAACAAAAATTATGCCATAAACATACTGGTAATAAGGAAGGGAAAGGATGTGGGAGAATGGGAAGATAAGAAAAGAGGAAACAATTCTCATCTTCCAAATTGGAAATCAAACAGAAAACACTTAAAACTGGAAAACCAAGCAGGGAGCAACATAAGCATGTTGTTTCAAGATTAGAAGAAAATCCAAAGAAAGAGCCAAAAGCATCTTGAAAGTGTTGTTTCTGGGAATTGGGGGAAAGAATGCAACTCCAAGTGCACTGCTGCTTTTTGTAAAAATTTTTATAAAATTCTTTGATTTTGTATAATATGTACATGTATTAATTCCCTTATAAAAAAAACTAATTTTAAAATACTTCCCACTCTCTTTTCCCTTAGGAGACCTAATTTAGTGGCTGAACTGGATAAGCGATACTCATGGTATCTTGACAATCTGGGCACTGTTCTAACCTCAAGGATCTTTCAACAAAAAGTTTTATACCTTAACTGGTTTAAGGAGAACCGGCCAGGAAAAGAAAACATACATATTAACAAGTAAAATGCCATCAAAGAACCATCAAAGAAAAGGGTTTGATGAGTCCACAGCCAGTTGATTTCTGGAAGCAAATTATCTAGTCAACTTAAACAGCAAGAAGTGAAATTAGGATGACCCTAAAAGACTGATCTTTCCCCCAAAAAAAGGAGGCATGGGGGAGTCCCATTGTTTTGTGCTCCATAAAAAGGCAGTTTACTTTTTGGCCTAGTGTTGTAACTACTGGGTAGTTACAAACTCACTACTTCCTCTTCTTGGTTTTTAAAATTTTTATTTCTTAATCCAAATGAACAAACAAGAAAGCCATTAGATCTTGTGTTTCACTATCAGCATCGTGCATTAAAATAAACATTGGTTTTAGCTCAGACAAACATAGGTAAAAATCCAGGCTCAAAATCTTGCTGGCTAGTATATTCCTGAAAAATAATCATTCATAAGGTTATCTGTATTCACTGATAAAGAGCAAAAAGAATAACTCGCATAGGCACACAACAGGCACTGGAGACAGGGGCAAGTGCTCCTTCATTCCCCCTTCCAAGTTCTCTTTTCTGAGTATGGGCACTGGTGTGCTCTACCGCTGGCTTGAGTGTATGGGGAGCTCCGTCTCCCAGAATCCCTTCTCCACATGCTTCACAGTCAGAACTGGTAGAATGTGAGGCTGTGCAAGACTTGGGAGGTGAAGGGGAAGCAGCAGTCATAACATTCTGGAGGCTGTCACTGTATAGAGGAGGTAACAAACCGATGCAGAGCTACAAATGGGTTCCACCTTGTTCTCCCTCTTCCCTATTCTGTATCTGGCTCTTCTCGAGTGCTGATTCTGCTCAACAACAGGGACCCCAGACCCACCAAAGATGTTTTGTTGCAAATGCAGAGGTAGTAACCCTGAAGAACCAACAACCTTCTGCTGCCTTCCATAGCTTCTGCAGCTCTGCATTAGCAGCTGGCCTGGCCCACTTTTCAGATTCTTTTCTAAGTTCATTCATCCGGGTCTAGGCTGGTCAGTGACCTTTCTCTGGTCCTTAAACTCTACTTTTTTGGCCTTTGCTTACCCAGATCTTCCCGTAACTGTACAAACTCTAACTCTTATAATAAATCTCTTATTCCATGATACCCACAATGACTTTCCTTCCCTGATTGAACCCTGAATCATACAATGTGTGATGGTCTCATATCTCAACTCAAAAAATCATGATCTATCCTGGAAAGAATCCTGAAAAAAAGTCAAGAAAACTGGATGTAAATATTTCAGCTCTGCAAAACTGTGTTTTCAGAATCAGACATAAAAGAGAATAACTAGGTAGGAGTTAGCTGCTAATTGTGGAAAGAACACCAGAAAAGGGAGCCAGTTTAACAAAGCAGGATTAAGACAAGGAGTTTGGAGTCAGACTGTCTGAGTACAAATTCTGGCTCTATCTCATATTGGGCAATTTTGGCCCTCAGCTTCCTCATCTGTAAAATGGTACCTCCCCCCTTCACAGGGTTGGGTTGATGTAAGGATTAAATGACATAATGAATGTCACAAGTGATTCTTATTAGATAGAAAACTGACCTTGGGGAAAGCATACGCTGGCCTTCAGACATAGGAAATTTCTAACAGTTTCTTCAAGTTATTAGAACTGTTCCTCTTCTTGGAATGGCCTTCCCTCTCTCCATCCACCTGCCCAACATAATACCAAGCACCCCTCCCCCCACCTTTTTTTTTTTTAACAAAGTCTTTCTCAATCACCCTCTACCTGTATTGCCTCCAAGTATAAGTGACCTCTTCCCTCATTTATGTCTCTGCTGTGCTCTGTATACACACTGATCATATCTCATGATACTTTCTGTCTTTGCTGTATGTCTGTTTCCTGATTACATGTCCTACTGAATTCTAGCATATAGCCAAGCCTACAGCATGTGCTTACTTATTTACTGTGGGCCAAATGTCTTTATTTAAAAGTTTTTTTTTAAATTCAATTCTTTTGCATATGTTGTTTTTCTAATCCTTAGGAAAGACTTCCCTATTCAAAGGCATCACAACCTCCTAGGAGCTAGAGCTTAGTTAGATAAGATCTAATTACATGCTAACTTTGTGATCTGACATGATGATTTGGGAGAACGAGTCATGCTGATGGCAATCTGGCTGGCATTTCCCTTTAAGATTTCTGAGGCTGCCAAGGCTTTTCATTTATCTTGCTTCCATTTCTTAAAGTACAGAAGGGTAGAATCCTACTTCCCATTTACTCTTACTACTGCTGGCGCTTGGATAGCAATTCATCTCTAAATTATGTCATGAAGAACTGGTTTATATGAAAATGACAAGAAATTGATCACACAATCTCCTGGAATCAGAACATGGACTCTCTTTTCCCTGAAAAAAGAGGGTTCCTAAGCTAAACTATAAACCCTAGCTAAGGGGATACAAAAGGTTAACTTAGTAAAGGTCAATAAATAGTTTACAGCAGAAACAATTATGTATTCTCTGATATAGGAAAGTTCTGGATTTGCACTGCCTGATTGAATTAGTATTTACCAAAAATCTTTTAAAGATCTTCTACGATAAAATGAACATAACAAGTATTTATTAAGGACCTACTATGTGAAAGGGACTGACTACTAGGGAGACTCTAAGAGAAGCAAGGTGCAGCCTCTGCCCTAATGAGCTTGTCTATTTGGAGAGTCAGAGAGCACTCTACTCACCATGACACGAAGCAGACCCCATACTGTGGGTAAGGTCCTAATGTATTCACATCACAGAGAAGAGCAGTGAATTCCATCTAGAACAGTAAGTCCAGGAAGGCTCATGAAACAGGTGACACCTGAGCTGGGCTTTCTCAAAAAGCAAGCTGTACAGGCAGAGTGATGGGAAAGGCCATTCTAGCCCCCTGGAGACTATGAGCAAAGGCACATGAAAGTACCTGGTGTATCTGGAAACTTCAAAAAGTCTGTGGCTTAGGCGAAAAGGCCACAAAGTTGGAACCAGATTGTGAAGGCCTGACTTTTATGCTAAGGAGCTTCGATTTTATTTTATAGACAATGATTCCTGTCAAAGGTTTCTGAGAGTTATTTCAGATATAGACCTTTAAAAGAGCTTCAATTCAGATTAAATCAGATTTTGGTCTGGGGAAAAAAGATTCCTTTTTTTTTTTTTAAAGATTTTATTTATTCATTCGAGACACAGAGATACAGAGAGAGAGAGAGAGAGAGAGAGAGAGCGAGCACAAGCAGGGGGAGAGGCAGAGGGAAAAGCAGGCTCCCCGCTGAGCCAGGAGCCAGACGTGGGGCTTGATCCCAGGACCCTGGGGATCATGACCCGAGCCGAAGGCAGACGCTTAACCATCTGAGCCACCCAGGTGCCCCAGGAAAAAAGATTCTTAACATCAATTAGGGAAAGTAGGAAGTGGGAAGGGGGTCTTTCCAATGTCAAAGAAATTACTGCCTGCCTATACTTTCTTCTAGTTTTATGGCTTCAGGCCTCACATTTAGGTCTTTAATCCATTTTGAGTTTATTTTGTGTATGATGTAAGAAAGTGGTCCAGTTTCATTCTTTTGCAATTGGCTGTTCCATCTTCCCAGCACCATTTGTTGAAGAGACCATCTTTCTCACATTGAATATTCTTGCCTCCTTTGTCATAGATTAGTTGAACATATATGTGTGGGTTTATTCCTGGGCTCTCTATTCTGTTCCATTGATCTCTATGTCTTAGAAAACATTTTAAAACCAGATTTGAAGACTCCACCTCTGTCTTACTGATCTAGACTATCTAGGAGGTCAGACCATAAAACATGTCCCTAAGGGTACTCTGGAGATATGAACAAGCACACTTGGGCAATGGAGTCCCACCTCTTTTTGGACTGGACAATCAGTTAGCTGAGTCAGTAAGCTTATGATTCTTGAATTTCTCTCTCCAGCCCAGACCTTTCCACTGTGTTATAGACTCACATATTCTGGTATATACTTAACTGCACAAGGAAGTTCACACATTTCAAATTTAACATGCTCAAGCTGAACTATAGTATTCCCTGTGTTAGTGAATCTAATTCTACCCATTCTTCTACTTGCTCAGGCCCAAAACCTTATAGTCATCTTTGATGTCTCTCTTTGTCCCATATGTCACATCTAACCTGCCAGTAAATTCTGTCAGCTCTGCAATTCAAAACATATCCAGAATCAGAGCACTTGTCACTCTGGTCAGAGCCCCCATCATCTCTCACTTGGGTTATTAAAAGAGGCTCCTACTGGTCTGCCTGCTTTCACTCTTGCCCCCTATAATCTATTCTGTGTATGAATCCCTTTCATTGAAATCAGATCAGGTTGCTCTTCTCAAAACCCTTTAATGGGTTCCCATGTCATTCAAAATAGGAGACATAGTCCTATGTGCTTGTCACTACCACCTGACACTGGATATTCACTCTCTGTCAATCTCTTCTCACTAGACTGGAGGCTCCATGAGGTCAGGGTCTTGGTTTGCTTCATTTACTGGTATGTGCCCAGGGCTTAGAAAACTACATTAGAATAAATGTGACACATAATTAAAAAAATATTTTCCTCTTCTAGAGAACGGAGAAAATCAAAGCTACCTTCCTGGGTTATTGTGAGGATTAGAAATTGTTTTTTAAAGTATCTGGCACTGTGCTTGGAATTTGAGGAAATACTGAATAAAATCAAAGCTATCATCAACATGAAAAAATTCTTTGTTGTATGGAAAGTAGGTTAACCAAGAGTTATATTGAACTAAACAAATATAGCATTCCCAGACTCTCATGGACAAGATGAAAGTTTTTGGAGTTTGTGGATTTAGATATAAAATCTAATGTTGTCTCTAGTATGACACTAAGCACAGGGACAAGACAGCCCCAGCTAGGTAAAAGGAATAGAGCTGGGAAGAGAGAAGAGGAAGGCACAAGAGAATGTTCAGAAAACTCTACATTCTCACTTCCTTCCTCTCTGTCCTACTACCTCTATGTCTGTGGATTAAATCTAAAGGAGCTATAATTTTGACTTAATAGAAGTTTCTAGTCTAGGTTTACTTTGATGGTGAAAAGACTATGAATAAAATATTAAAGTCTTTTCTCCTTCCCTGCGAATAAAAATGACTTTGAGTTAACTCTCTTGCTCTGCTCCCCTGGAGACCTAATAAAAGTGTAATATCACCTATTACCAGGTAATACTGCTTTTGGTAAATTTCACTGCTGATTGATACACTGGGAGGATTATGAATGAATGATCAATGCCTGGTGGCAAGCCTTACTTTTGGGCTTCTCTAAGTATAGTGAATCTTGTAACTGGTGATATCCCTTACTGGGACCTGAGAAGTGACAAGTGATACTAGTGATACTGATTCCTATTTAGGCATGGAACCTCTAAGCCCCTTCTCCCCTGGCAACCTGTTATGTTCTCATTCTCTAGAACCCAATCTGTCCTTTGCAAAGCCAGGAAATAACCCTTTGCTGCTGTATGGACAGCTGATAGAACCACCCTTGAAGAAAATGCCTGGCATTGCCCAGCACGCTTCCTGTCTTAATGTTCTTCCAAGTGAATGTTATGCTAGGGGAGGCCTAGTAGAGGCATGTGGGATAAACTGTCAGTTTGAACCTATGAAGACCCCCAAAGTGAGTGCTATA